TCTCTCTCTCTCTCTCTCTCTCTCTCTCTCTCTCTCTCTCTCTCTCTTACTATCTATCTATGTGAATGCTTCATACAGGTTCATCAATGCCAGGAGGAGAATAGTCCAGCCAATGATTGATCAGTCAAATCGCTCAGGTCGGTGTTTAGTCAGTCATTCAGTAAACCTAAATGTGTTCATGAGTGTGTGTCTGTTGTGTATTTGTGTAAGAAGGCGTGTGTTGTCTCACAGGTCAGGGTGGTCCCTACAGCCCGGAGGGCGCGGCTCTCGGGGGCTACGGGCTTGACGGCCAGGCCCACCTCGGGCTTCGAACAGCAGGTACGGCAGAATTAAATACAGCTGAACTGCATTCGTCACTAGGAGCACAAACACTATAGTTTATTTTGACAGACACACACCGTTTGTGCTGCTGAAAATACTCATTAGCACACCAAATGTGGGGTTATCCATCTCTGAAAACACCCCCCAACAACTGCAGCGCCAAGCTGAATCTGGAAATCATTATGTTATTATATTATGATATATTATATCTTCAAAACTAAATTAAGGAGGGAAGTTGAAATTATTAAGAAATGTTCATTTTGGTCTTTTCAGTTTTCTGTAGAAGTTAGCATGAAGTATGAATCTATAGAAAATTACCAGCAACGCTGATTATGAAACTAAAATAAATGAAAATAAATAACATGGATTAGGTAAAATATTTATAAATATTAAATAAAATATAACTACCTGCGTGGCTACAGTTAATTAATGACCCACCAGTTCTTTTGTGTCATGTTAAAGGCTGTTTCTTTTTCATTTCTAGTTGAAGTAAAAGTTTTAAAGTTTGTGATTTTAATATTAACAAAAAGCTTTGCCCAGCACTAAACACCACTCTGAAATACCAAACCCCGTGTCCTAAAATAAAGTTGTTAAAAAACCTCTTAAAAGTCAGCAGCAGTGTTCAAGGGACTGAAATACATGCTGTACAGCAGGGCAGTGTTTAAAACCTGCATAAGTTTGTTTCAAGTCTGACAGGGATGTTTCCTGATTTATAGAATATTGCAATGAATTATAATAATTATTTGTAGCTTTAATTAAAAGCTGTTACAAATTTCAAAGGATTCAGGTGCTTAAGAGGAACTAAACAGGCGAACCTGCACTGAATACCTGCGTCAGGTTCACATAGTTTCCAGTGCAAACCTATAATCTATTAATAATGTGATTTAAGACCGAAGGGAAGGGTCTTCTGTACTTCTGCATCTTGGAGGAACCTCATAAATATTCCACTTTCTTCTCGCACCAGGTCTCCAGGGAATGTCCTCCCTGCAGGGTGACTACCCCGGCGCTCTCCTGTCCCAACCAGGCTATCCTCCCCACCCAGGACCGTCCCTCCATTCTTATCCTGGCCC